CAGTTATAGGAATTGGATATCTCTAGTTTAATGAAAATAAGGACTAGGGCTGACATGATAGCAGTGTTCCAATATTTGAAGGGCTGCCACAAAGAAGAGCAAGCCAACTTATTCTCCAAAGCACGTGAGGGCAGGACAAGAAGCAATGTGTGGAAACTCATCAGAGAGAGAAGCAACCTAGAAGTAAGGAGAAATTTCCTGACAGTTAGAACAACGAACCAGTAGAAGGCCTTGACCTCAGAAGTTGTAGGTGCTCTAGCAGTGGAGATTTTCAAGAAGAGATTGGACATCCATTTGACCAGAATGGTAGGGGGTCTCCTGCTTGTGTAGGGGTGGACCAGGAGACCTCCAAGGTACCTTCCAACATTGTCATTCTGTTAATCTATTCTGCTATTCAAAGAGACCAGGTGAAGGAAGGAAGGATAGAAGGGACCATCAAAAGTGGCCTTTGGACCCCAAGAAAAGGCCAGCTTAGAGGTATCTGGGTGAGGATTAGACTTGAGCAGCCCATCTCCAGTTCCTTCTAGTATCTCAGTACACCCAGAAGACTGGATGTTTCTCAGCCTTGGCTGTTTAAAATGGGTGCAACTCTCTGTGTTCCCCAAGCATCGGGATATCTGGGGAATTCTGGGATTTGAAGTCCACACAACTTCAAGTGGCCAAAGTTGAGAAATCCTGAGCTACAGCCGGAGTGCATTCCTAACTTTAACTTTTTGAACAGGTTTTTAGATGTATTTAATTGCATTTTAATTAATCTTGATTTAGTCTTTCAACAGCCACTTTACATATATGTAGTTTCTTACATCTGATAAGAAAAATGGGGAAATATTTTCTGTTTCTTCTGCTAGTTTGTTGTTTCAGTCTTGTCTCCCTTTTTCTTAAAGCTCTTTTCCAACTCAGTTCTTTTGAGTAGGAGGAAAGTTTCTCCAGAGTTTTATCTCAGGGAAGATCCTGCCTGGACTCAAGGAAACAAACCCTATTTTGAGCCGCAAGTCCGGCTTTGAAACGGCATCTAAAGCTGGAAATAGAGTAACAGAAGCACAACTTACCAACTCCCAAGAGAAGGATTGGGAACCACAGTGCAAGCATGCTCTTGAGGGCCATGTCAGCAACTGGCATTGCAACAAGGAGCAAAGCAATAAGTACCTCAGTCTAACTTCTGCAAACTGTGACTCGTCACTTAAATTGCATAATAGTCTAATGAGAATCATTATGGCTTTCCAAGAACTACAGATTCTCTTTTTTGAGTACTGGTGGAAATGACGTCTGCCACTTCCACTGGAGAGAGAATTCATTTGCAAAATTTTGTAATCTGTAATCTCGGTTACTATGTGAAAGATCATTTGCAATTCTTTGGCAGTTTATTTATTTGGTGATTCAGTTTATAGAGTTGCACATCTCATATTCTGGGCTGCTGAGAACATAGAAACAAAGGGACCTCGGAGGTCTTCTAGTCCAACTCCCTGCTTGAGCACTAAAAGGTCTCCAAGACCTCTGAGATGCAGTTCCTTTGAAGACTACCTACTGAGTGTGCATGGCCAGCCAATTGCGAATCCATCTGATGATGGCACTGTCTATACCACAGAGTTCTGGTTTACAAAGAAGTAGGTTATGGTCTACTTTGTCAAATGCCTTACTGACTTCTTAAAGAAAACATGTCCACAACATTTTGCTGGTTCACTAACAGAGTCACTTTCTCAAAGAAGAACGGTTGCAGGAATTGGGTGTGTCTAGTTTAACACAGAGAATGACTAGAGGTGACATGATAGCAGAAGTCCATTATTTGGAGGGCTGCCACAAAGAAGAGGGGTCTCCACCTATTCTCCCAAGCATTGAGGGCTGGAGAAGAAGCAATGGATGGAAACTAATGGGGAGAAGCAAGAACTAAGGAGGAATTTCCTGACAGTGAGAACAGTGCAATGGCTTCCCTCCAGAGGTTGTGGCTACTCCAACACTGGAGGTTTTTAAGATGAGATTGGAGAGCCATTTGTCCGGAATGGTGCAGAATCGCCTCCTTGAACAGGGGCTGGACTAGAAGACCTCCAAGGTCCCTTCCAACACTGTTATTCTGTTATTGTGTAGGTAGTGTAATCCATAGTCTAGAAAGTCAAAGTGCCCAGAATAGCATCCTCCTTTGAACCAGTGATTTATTTCTTCAATGCGCCATTCCCTCATTGGTCATCAACCTTTCCTCAGGAATACCAGAGTTTTACAAAGCGGTATTAATACTTCACACAATCTTGATTCTATGCCTCTGTTTAAACAAGGATAGTATTAGCTTTTTTGGCTACTGCTGCCGGCTCATATTCAAGTGTTAATTCACTAGTACTCCAAGGTCCCTCACACAGTTATTGATTCTGAGCCAGGTCTCACCTAATCTGTACTTATATCTTTAATTTTTCCTGCCTAAATGTAAAACTTTGCTTTTCTCCTCATTAAAATTCCTTTTGTGGGACAGGTTCAAGTTTCTCAAGATCTTTTTGGATCCTGAATTTGTCTTCTGGGATGTTGGCTCTTCCTGTCAGTTTAGCGTCATCTGCAAATTTGATGAGTTTCACTTCCATTCCTAAGTTATTTATGAAGTTATTGAAGATAATTGAGCCTAAGAGGGAGCCTTCTGGTACACCACTACTTACATCTCCATGTGGCTGTAGTACTATTAAGGACTACTCGTTGAGTATGGTTTATCAGCCAAATCCATCTGGTGGTGATGATGTCTATTCCACATTTTTCTAGCTTAGCAATAGCAATAGCAGTTAGACNATGGAAAAATTGGGAGGGGGCCATGCTTCTTTCAACCCCCCCCCCAAGTGGGCAATGAAAGACTGGTTTTCAACCCAAAAAGCAGATCAGATCATAGTTGGTCATTAAGAAATATAGTTCAGCCAGCCCCCCCCCCCCTCCATCCCGTGTCTGGATTTATCCAAGATGCTGGTCCTTGCATTTTCATATTAACATTAAATATTGTTGAATTCGCCTCACCCTGAAATTTAAAAAACAAAACAAAACTGCTCAGAGTAGTTTAATCTTTGGGTTTAGCCAAACTGCAGTTTGGCAGCCTTTATTTAAAAACAATGACGTCTTAAAATGGTGGAATCAGGACAGTTTAAAATAAATATTTACTCCCTTTTTTTGCTTTGCTTGTGCTGAGCACAAATCACGGATGGCGGCAGGCAAGAAGGTGTCCTCAGTTTTACCAGTTCAAAAATAAAAAACAAAAGTAGGAATTTGTACAACAGTAATACATAGTACTACATAGTAAATTGCATACAAGGTAACAATGTTTAAAGGATATTTTACAAAATAACAATTGGCTGTTCAGAGTATAGTGTTTCCCTTGTGAGATACTATTTAAGGTCATGAATTGGAAGCCATTGTGCTTAAATATTCCCTTTTTCAGTGAAATCCCAGTGAAATGTGACATACTGTTATTTTCTTGCACCATAATTTCTTCCCTGCTTAATATCTGAGAAATTCCCTTGCATTTATTCTTTTCAGTGGTAGAATTCAGATTGTTTGCAGAGTTTGGCTAGTGAATATAAACAGGAGGTTCAGAACATCTGCCTATATAATAAATAATTTTACTATCATGTTTTAGAGTTTAGAAGGACTGCCAATGTAGTCATTGTCCAAGTATGCCCTAAAACAGGCCCCTCTTTATGCCTATCATGGATTGCTCTTTGAAATGGAAAATATTTTAAAGACTTGTAAAACAACAAAATCAGCACTTGGGCATTTGGGAGGCCTAACTCCATTTTCTTTCAACGTACTTCTGTATCCCCATGTATAAAGTACAGCTTCAGGAAATAAAAGATTGGATAGGTGATGGCCGCAGATTTATCAGGAAAAGGGAAACAGGATGTTGCAGGGTAAGCTTTCAAAACTCTGACCTAAGAGGAAGGGAGTGGGTTAGGAAAGTAAATGAAATGTGGATGATTTAAAGTAGCTATAAGAAGGGTAGAGTAGATGGTTTTAGAAGAAAGAACCCAAACCAGGCAGTTGAAAAAAAATAAGCATAAAGAACACTGATGAGGTGAAGATGTGCTTCATTGGTGAATGGGGTGCGTGCATATTTTTTCGCTGATTTAACTGGCAGGACTTTCAGAATTTTTTAAAGAATAGTTTTTGCTTGTATGAATTTATAGAATGGGTTGTTTGAGTTTTGTTGCATTTTACTATTGTTGAGCATAGTTTTTGTGCTAATGGTTGAGGTGGCGTTGGGAGTAATTCATTCTTGTATTTGGTATATATATATATTTGCATGTGATTTAGGGAAACATTTTTCACTTCCTGTGCGGTGGATGTTTATTAAAGTAGAAAACTAATAGAGTGTGTATTGCCAATTTATCTTTCAAGGAGCTTGTTGTTTCCGTATACTAAATTTTATGATTCCCTATTCTTTCCTATGGGGATTTTGACATGATGCCAGCCACTTTTTCAAAACTAACAGTGCCTATAGCTCCCTCCCCCCCCCAAGAGTTAAGGCAGGTATGCTCTATTTTGTAGCAAATTGTCCTAACTAATTGATTTCTATACCTTGTTCATGAAGCATCAATTTTAAAATAAGATTTAAACCGCTTTTTAATTTAAAAGGTGGTGAAAACAACTTGGGATAACTATCATGATTTGATAACCTGCAATATTCTGAGTTTTGGTATAAATAAAATGATGGAATAGTTCATCTGCCTTGGATTTTACTTTATGTTGTGTTCTGCGTTATGGGACTTGATGATGGTTTGTAAGCTGAATTGCTTTTTTGATATTCAGTTAAGGTCGATGAAGGGATAAACTAGCTTGGTTGAGAGAGATGAAATAATCCTAACATTCTAAACAAGCAGACAGGAAACCTGCCATGCCTGGTTCTTAACTTCTGAGTGAGCATATATAAGACTCAGCTGAGGAATTCATGCAATGCTGACTTTAATCATAGTTGAATGTGCTTCAAGATGCTCCAGAAATTTTGTTATGGAGACTTCTAAATTAAGTGTGTCTGCTGTATAGCTGGAAACCTGCTTCTTATTTCTTGTGAAAATAGCTTTCTGTCGCAGTCTTATAAGATCAGTAATACTGACTGTCCTGTATTAGCAATGCACATCCTACTTTTGAATCCTAAGTCACCATTTATAAATTACTCTTATAATATATGAGTCTAGTGGGTTCTCTTATTTCCTTCTTTCTGACTGTGTTTAAGAATGTGATGTGAAATAATCCCCCTGGAATAATATCAGTTTAAAACTCATCATCTTTGCAATCTAGTTGGCACTTGAAGTCAAACAACTTGCATTTTCTTATCGTTAAAGCTGGGTGATACTAGTTCTGTCCGTAGATGAGACATTCCACTTTGGAGAGATGAAAGCATTCTTAACACCATAGCTGAAATCTACATTTCCAGCTCATTTCCATTCTTTATATCTCCTTTAAATTTTGCAGTTAGTTGCACAAGTTTGAGTATGCTGTATCCATCCAAATGATCACATTTCCTAGATTATTACCTCAAAATGTTTACTAATCATGACATTGTATTCCCACCAAAAATGCTCCCCCCCCCCCAAAAAAAAACCTTTGGCACTACTCATCCTAAAATGAATGTCGCTATGTCCAGCATAGAGAACAGTATTTTAAAAACACCATTTTTAAAAACTTGTAAATGGAATTCAGGATTTGATGCTGATCTCACATTCTAATGATCCATTAGGATATAATTCCCTTTAGTGGAATTGCTTATTATTTATGAATATATACATACATACATACAAATACATTAGCTTGGTCACAGTGGGCTAATGTCTATATTCTTTAGCCGTATTCAGTCGTACGTACCTTCTTAAATTAATGCACTTCCATGTTCACAGAAAGTCCCTCCAGTAAAGAAGACCAATTAAAGTTTAATATTGCTTCTCGCTTTTCCCCAAAGTTACTGTTTTCTGCTTCATTGGTGGTGATGTGTCCAAATATTGATAATTCAAGAAAAGGACACATGCAACGTCCTGTCAGTTTTCTCTTGAAGCTGATCAGACTTAACATTAGCCGTGAAAAGCAGAGGTCACAACTGAAGACAATTGTATATGTATGCATTTCATTTTCCCTTAAGAATTCTGCTGGAGCATCTCTATTCCACAGTATTCTTTTCTTTTAAAAAAAGCTAATTGGCCCAAAACTGCAAAATGCTATTCCTGTTGGGTCAGCATTCCCTTTTCTCCTTCCAAGCTTTACTCGCAAAAATTAAAAAAAAAAAAATCTTAAAAAAATAGAAATAATTGTTTTTACGAGTTCTCTTTTCCAAGTCTGCTTGTACCTCAAAACAGAAAGATTAAAAAAATACTGAGGGTTTTTGTTCTTTGTGTGTATGTGCATGACTATAGAAAACCAATATTGCATTGAAAAATAAAATAATTGCATAATGCTGGCAGCGCATGTAATTTATGGATATAGGTGGAGCCCAAATAGACGGAGCAGTAATCAAACGGCTTGGAAAGCTCGACTTTGAGCAGGCATCATTGTAGGGGTTTCTTCCGTTTTGATCAAACTGGTGTAGTTACTTCTCTTTGGCTCAATTTTCCTGCCATTCATCTCAAGGTGGCTGCGCTGCGTCGGTGTTAGGTGTGGGGTAGCTTCTGTCGACAGTGTTTGCTGGCTGCGAGAGGCACTGTTTTCTGTGGATCTTGTTGAGGAAGAACCAGAATGTGAGCTTCTGGAGCCCAAAGAGGAAGAGCCAGGCTTGACTAATCGGGCCTTGGGTGCCTCTGCATCTTCCCTGGGATTAAAAGAAAGCAAAAATGATTAAAAATCTGAGTAATAAAGGACCAGTAACACAACAGTGTATTTGAGATTTAGCAAATCTCTTGGGCTGCCTGCCAGCAGTCTAGCCATATAAGCTATTTGTAGATAGCTTTTCTAATCCAAGACCGGTGAAAATTACTACATTATCTCAGCTGCTCCTGTTGACAAAGTACTTTTCACCCATCATGGTTAAAAGAAGTAACATTTTAAAAAAAATTCTCTGCAGTGCTGTTACATTATTTTTGTTGGTTGCAACTTGCACAAGCCAATGTCAGGGTTCCATGTAACACCCCCAATGAACAAAGACTCCGAGGCCTGAGTTTCCTCAAAGTTCCATTTTATTAGAGATGTCATATTGGCACATCTGGAAAAACCCGAATCTGAAAGTTTCCAGGTTTTCCCCACCCAAATGAAAGTTCATATCCCTGCCCAGCACCCACATGGTCCAATCAGGCACCGTCCAGAACAGGAGTTGCCTTCCAGTCACACCATCACAGCTGCAGGTCAAGGTGTCCTTGACTCTCTGAGAAAAGAATGTTGTTTTGACTATATATATATATCACCCGTACAACATATAATCCCCCCTCCTATTTTCCCACAGCAGAAAATGTGGCAGGCCTGAAGCCCCCATGTAAAAGATGGCTTCCAGGACTGACAGCCAGATTTTTGGAGTCAGATTAGCATTGTTTTTTATTATTGTTACTATTAAACTGTTGAACCAGAACTATTTTATGTATGGTAAAAGAAACTTGTAAGAAAAGAAATGGTAATGTTATTTTGAAAGCTTCAGGGAAGCAAAGCATTTGAACCTCTTTTTTTATTCATGACCAAGGAACAAGAAAGTTCTAGACTCTAGACTAGAAAATAAAGCATTCTCTGGCAAGTGACCTAATTGTTGCTAATTTTGTGATTTTAATGTGTGCACACCTCCCTTAAAAAATCAGACACCAAAATGAACGGAAATGAACAATGAAAACAGTACAATGAAACTTTGGACAGGTGGATTAATTATAGCAATGTAACTGAAAGGTTATTCATTCCACCCCTGGACTTTGTGTTGCCCAAGGGAGTCTACCTCACAGGTAGATTGGAGAGATTTCTTCCTGACCATTCCTGAATCATAGTATTTTTTATGTATTATATAATATCATGATTCATTATCTGGTAAAGGAACATTAGACTCAGAAGTAGAAATCCTGTGAATAAATCATACTTAGATATGAGCTTCTGCATTTGAATAGGAGTGTTCCTGACCTTTAGTCAGAGCTCCGGGAGTCTTAAAATACATTTATTTCAATTTCTTGATTGTTTCCAGGAATGCCTTTTCTGTAGTCCTGGTTCTTCCCTTATGATTGATCACTGGGCTTAGTTTGATTTTCCCAGACATGCTAGACTAAGATCATTTGACTAATGTATAGATTAATTTAGAGTGTTAGGAGCCCAGACACTGTCTGAAGTTACTTTATGACTGCTTTGTATGAATCTGGCATTTGGGTTAATTTAGCAAGCCATAGTCAGTCTTGGGCCAATGTACAAATGGAACCTTTGACTCTCAGATTTTAAGCCCTGCCTTTAGAAATGGATTCTCCTTCTAGACCAGGGGTGAAATTCAGCAGGTTCTGACAGGTTCTGGAGAACCAATAGCAGAAATTTCGAGTAGTTCGGAGAACTGGCAAATACCACCTCTGGCTGGCCCCAGAGTGGGGTGGAAATGGAGATTTTGCAATATCCTTTTCCTTCCTCGGCCACCAAGCCACACCCACAGGATCAGTAATAAAAATGTTCAAATTTCGCCACTGTTCTAGACCTTGTCTGAATTCTGGGAGTGAATTTAAGACTGCTGTATGGGACCTACATAATTGCTCTGTTTCTGACTCAACTGAGATTCACACCTACACAGAATATCATGTACCTTTTATGCAGTATTCATCCTTCCAAGACAGTGGGTTGTTGGATCAGACTAGAAAGGTCTAAGTATTGTTTAGAATTCTATTTCCATAAAGAAAAGAGCTGCAAGTTGACCTAAAATTGGTACCAGCAGAAGTGCCCAGGATGTCTGCTACTGAAAAGTTGTGTAGATACTTCTATCTTCAATGAATTTATCTAATTTTTAAAAAGTTGTCCAAGATCCATCTACTTCAGGATGCAGTTCTTGGCTTCCCTCAAGTGTGATAGTTCCCCCCGCCCCCCTGGCCACCCCCGCCGGATTTTCCTTGTTAAACATGAAGAAATCAATTGTGCTGTTTTGTGGCATCCTCTGCTTCCTGTGCCAATTAATTTATAACCCTTTTATGTGGCTTTCAGGAACTGGCAGTGAAATAGAACAAAATCCAGATATTGAAGGCACTCAAAGGATGAGCCAAAAAAAAAAAAGGAGAAGAGATGGGGACAGGGAAGTTTCATGCAATTAAAAAAAACCCTCTGGAGTTGTTGATTTTAGGAAAATCAATTTAGGTAAATCAAGGATTTACTGAGGATCTTTAATGATTGCTCAAAAACTGCAGAGGGCAGAATGACCGGATTGCAACATGTAAAGGAATATAAAGGTGGGAAATGAAATTCAAATAGGATTAACCAGCAGGATTCCTTTGAGTCATAAGGGTGTTACCAGTTGAGTCATACTGTTGAAATCTTCCCGTAAATGCCCCACAAAGAAAGTTCAAGAAACATCTAGTAAAAAGTGATGTGCTATGATAGAGTAGATTCAACACAAGAGAGTATATTGTCATGTTACAGAAAACAAGTTATGAAAAGTGGGTGCACCCTCCCATATATGCTGATGACTAAACAATTCAAAACCTAAAATCCTCATTCCATCTTTGAAAATGTAAATTTGCTTTAAATAGAAGATCAAGAGCCTTATTTTCTCCAAAGGGCATTGCAGTTGTAATCCAGGAAAAGAAATGGCATAGTAAATGTATTAAATCTTTAAAAAGATCACAAAACATATATTTTTGGCTGTTAGTTCATAGAGCATACTAGGAAGTTCCTCACAACTCCGATTCGCTTGACGTGGTTTCAGAAAGAGATGATTTGGAACCCTACTACATGATCTCCTTTAAAACTGAACGTTAGTGGTTGATTTTGGAATCGCACATAAAACGTTCCCTTTATTGCTGACTTATATTCTCCCCTCCAGTTCTGAGGCTGTTCTGTAATAAAATTAAGAGGCTTTGCGACTTTTGAATGCTTAAAAGAGTGGTTTTTACAGAAGCAATTACCTGATTTCATTTGGAGTCTCTTCTTCGTATTTATTTTTTTCTTTCCTTTTGATAGTTCGCCACACAGCCAAGACAATGAGCAAGGATACTCCCATCACTCCACAGATTGCTCCAGCAACAATGCCGACATTCGGGGGATCTGTTGATTTAGAAACAAATGCTAGGTTTTATTTGTTCTACCTACAGCCAAATGCCGTCCTTGTAATTCTGGCATCTGTGGCATAGACATTTTCAATTCCTTTCTTTTATCTCAAAACGTAGCCCTGGTCAACTTTGGGTGACCTTGAAAAAAATAAAAACAAATTGGACCTGATTTTGTGATTGAGGCAGAGATCGGCAGGAAGTCCCTGGGTTTCTACAGTACTTTGGAAAGTTGCAAAATTACTCTGGTAGAAGTTGAAAACAAACCACTTCTGTAGAGTTAGCAAGAAAACAACATGGACATGTTTGCGTCGTCCCCAGGAAACGAGCTCGGTTCAAGGGAGACTTCATTTTCCATGGCTAAACGGTGAATCAAATTACAACACAGGTTAAACTGAATTAACTCTACCCTGGAGCAGTGGGCTGGTTGTTTTCTTCTCGGTTTTTCCTCAGCCAGCGCATCTCGGATTATGCAAACGGTAGTAGTTTATCGCTTCAGATATTCAACAGTGGTGCAATCCGCCCTGTTGTGTACAGTCCATTAATTGCTCTAAATGTACTCCGAGTTGCCTCCGCTTTCTTTTGCATTGCATATTTCACATACCTGACTCCCCAAGCTTAGATTTAAAATGTTAAAATGTTTTGGCCTTTGCATATATTGCACATTAGACTTTTCATTTGTTTAAAACTTAAGTTCCGGTGTTGAATACAAAAGGAAGTTCCGGGTGAAGAAAGAAGCACACCCTTCCCACCCAGTCCTTTCTTGATACCTAGCAAACATGGAACCCTTCTGGGAGTCAGTGTAGGAGGCTGTTTTTAAGATTGTCTTGTTCTTTTTTTAAACGAGCAGCTCCAGTTGGTACTCATGGGAAAAAGCTCTTTTAAGTCCCACAGGGCCAGCTACCATCTCTGTGTTATTTAACATCTATGTGAAATTTTCTCGGAGAGATTTTAGAATAAGGTGGAGTGATGAACTTTGATTCTGAGGATGCTCAGGTATAAGATGCTTCCACAGGTCTCAATTCAGCATTTTAAGTCCTGGATGGGATAAAAGAGGCTCAAATTGTATCCTTGGCGAGGCAGTATTATCCATGGTCCAGGAATGTTTCGCCTCAATTTGATTGTCATAATTGCTTTCCATGAGGTCACTTTCCCTTCAAAATAACATCTAAGAGTTCTTTTCAGCTCACAGCGCTGATAAATGCTGAGGTTGGACTTGCCTTTTCCCAACTTAAAACTGTTGGGAAAAGTTGCTGCCCTTTCCAGAACAAGGAGCCAATGACTCATTTTACATCACTACCCATTTTGATTATTCAATCATGTTCTACTGAGAACTGGGACAGCCCTACAAGAAAAGGAAACCAATGTATGTTGTGTTTTTTAAACTCTTTTCATTTCTCCCCTATTTGTTATTTTATCTCGTATTTGTAAGCCGCCCGGAGTCCTATGGGATTGGACGGCATGTAAGCTTATTAAATTACGAATTACGAATTAAGACAAAACAAATGTGGAAAGAAAGTAATAAAACGGGGCAAAAGACAATGTCTCGCTTAACAGAAATTTTGGGCTCAATTATGGTTGTAAGTCAAGGAGTATACGAACAGAACCTTACAAGTCTGATTGTGCCTTTCCCTCCCTCCCTCCTCATACCCCAGGGAGTCTTTCCTGAATACATTAAGGAATGCTTTCATCCTTTTGATTTCTGTAATGGTTCCTGAATGTTTGCTTCAGAGCCCCTTCCTTGCCTCTCTGCAGGCTGCTGCAGAAGCCAATTGGCTACCAGGGGAAGCTACCATTGTAGCAGAAGACTTCTATTCTGATTCCTGCACTGATTCAGATTTAACAGAGCTGGAAGGGATCTTGTGGGTCTTCTAATCCAACCCCATGCTGAAGCAGGAGACCCTGCACCATTTCTGACAAATGGCAGTCCAGTCTCTTCTTGACAGCCTCCAGTGATGAAGCTCCCACAACTTTTGAAGGCAACTTCTGTTCCCTTAGTTGATTGTTCTAACTGTCAGAAAAAGTTCTCCTTATTTCTAGGTTGAATCTCTCCTTGTTCAGTTTCCATCCATTATTCCTTGTCTGGCCTTCAGGGGCTTTGATTATCAGTAGTTCTCCAAGCTCCATTCAAATGTTCCTAGATATCTCACATACTTACGTTGCACTGTCACTTGTATGGCACAGCTGTCCTCTCCTGCTTCGTTGGAGGCAGTGCACTGGTATGATCCTGTGAACATCCATGTGAGATTCTTCATAATAATTTGGGCAGGATTAGACAGATCTAAAATAAATGAAGAGGCAGGATTCAGTGACGTTTACAGCAGAACGGTATCATTAAATTGTAGAATTAATCTGCCAGTGTAATATATACAGTGGTGGTTTTAAATAAGAAATGGGGTAATTGGGCAAAGAAAAAAGGGTGGCTAGAAGAGATGACAACACAACAAATAGATGTAAAACCAGAACTATTCTTATTGGGTGTACTACCAGGGAAATACAATAAAAGAATCATATACTTAATGCTACGTGTAAGAACAGCAGCTAGGATTAAGGTAAAGGTTTCCCTCGCACATATATGCTAGTTATTCCTGACTCTAGGGGGCGGTGTATATCTCCATTTCAAAGCCAAAGAGCCAGGGCTGTCCTAAGACATCTCCATGGTCATGTGGCCAGCTTGACTCAACACTGAAGGTGCACGGAACACAGTTCCCTTCCCACCAAAGGTGGTCCCTATTTTTCTACTTGCATTTTTTACATGCTTTCGAACTGCTAGGTTGGCAGAAGCTGGGACAAGTAACGGGAGCTCACTCATGATAGTTATGATCAGGGTGAATAATACNCCAAACCCAGGCGACAAAAGGAGATGTTAATCGCCTTAACTGCCATGAGTTAAAAGGAGGGGGGCGCAAAAGCAGCAATTTCCAACGCTTTGGCCAAATGATTTACAAGTAGGGGGGGGGGGTTACAAAACCTTTTTTTTTGGAAAAAAAAGAGGGAGCGCTGAAAAGCAAGTCCTACAGCAATGTAATGCAATGCAATGCAATGTCCCAACTCAGGTTCTCTCTCCCCCCCGCTTCTTTGCAGGCAAACCTTCCCCCAAGCATCTGCCTCCTTTTATTGCGAGGTTTCAGACAAAGGCTCGGCCAGGAAGGGAGGCAGGAAGAGGGAGGGGGGGAGGAAGAGGATTCAGGCCGGGAAAATGCAGGTCACCTTGAGAAGCAGCGAAGGAAGGGGGGGGAAGGTCACCTTCCCCAATGAATTGCATCCCTGCCTGCATTGCACCCCGTAGAAGCCAGATCGTTTCTCATTAACAAAAATAAAAGTAAATCCCAGCAAAAATTAAATTTTTTAAAAAAGATTTTCACTTTAAGAATTCAAAAGCATTGCTGCTTCTTTCCTTCCAAGCCTGCAAGAAGAGAAAAAAAAAGGGAAATAAGAATTACCTGTTTCGCCCGCGCGGACCAATCGAGACCAAAGGTGCCACGAGACCGGCCAGAATAGAAAGCGGCTTTCCCGGGCCGGCCCCGGACCTTATATACCTCTGGAGAACCTTCCAGAAGAGTTACGCCTCTTTCCGGCTACCCAGCCAATCCCCTAGGCCCGCAGGCCGGCCTTCCGCCAATGGCCGCCGCCGCCCGTGACGTAACAAAGGCGGGGGGGAGGAAGAGGGCGGGTCAGGGAGGCGCGTGAGTCAAGGGGAGCCGGCCGGCTTTTTTTTCCACCCCCTTCTTTCTTCCTCTTTCCTTTTTTCTAGAACGTTCATCCCTCCCAGAGCGCGCGGGATGGAGGAAAAAGAGGCGGTCTCGAACTCGATGACGTCTCCGGGAGCCAATGGCTTTCCCTCACGGCGCGCTTTATTTGCATAAACAAGCGAGACAAAGGGAACGAGAAAGAGAGGACGCTCGACGCCTCGGGTTGCTCTTCCCTTTGTGTTCCGAGCGGGAGCCAATCGCTTCCCAGAGTGGCGTTCCACGATTTGCATACTTTGCCCCAAGGGCGGGGGTGGGGGGGTAATGAGAGCCCCCTTTGGTGAAGGGAAGGCGCGGGGGCGGGAGGGAAGAGAACGTTCCGTTTTAGAGACAAAGGAGCCAATTCGAACGCAGCGTGGGTGAAACCGAGAGGCCGGTCGGCCAATCAGGGCGCGGGGAACCGGCGCGCGGGAAGGCGGTGGGGGGCGGGCCCAGTCATCTCCTTGAAGGAATACTGAGGAGAAAAACCGCCGGACAAAATGGCGGCCGAACGAGCTGCAGTTGCTGCAGGGCGTTGGCGAAAGGCCATGGCTGGGGTTAGCGGAGGACGCGAGCCAAGCGGTTCGACGAAAGAAACTCTTTGGGGAGCGAAGCCCGCGAACGCCTCTTTCCCGGTTCACCCCGTTTGAACCGCCCATCCCTGCTCGCCTGATATTGGACTACAGTCCCCATAGTCCCCGGCAGCAAAGGGGTAGAGGCAAGATGATGTGGGGGGTGTGTGTGTGGGGAAACCCAGTTGTCTCTTGAAAAAGCACCTCTGGGGTTAAACTCGCTTGGATTGTCAAAAGCCCCCGTAGCTGTAAAGCAAGGAGAGGGCGGCACTCTGCGAATGCTCAAGGACACTCTTGCCTTAGAGGCGTTTTAATGCAGGCCGCGGGCGCTGGACTGCAGGGAGTCAAGAAGAGTTGCTGCGCAATCGATTTCCTTCAGTCAAATCTGCCAAGGTGACAGGCGCCATGTGGCCTCTCTTGACCCTGAGAGGATTTTCTTCCTCCTCCTTAATCCGGATAGGAGATGATTGGCCAAACTATTCCAAGAAGCAAAGGCAGATCTTCTCCTCCCTCTTCCTTTCTTCTTCTCCCCCTTGTCGTCCTCCCCCCTTCCTCTTCTCCTCCTCCTCCCTCTTCCTTTCTTCTTCCTCTTCTCCTCCCCCTCCTCCCCTTTTCCCTTTCTCCAAGAATTTGCAGAGACATGGAAAAATTGGGAGGGGGCCATGCTTCTTTCAACCCCCCCCCCAAGTGGGCAATGAAAGACTGGTTTTCAACCCAAAAAGCAGATCAGATCATAGTTGGTCATTAAGAAATATAGTTCAGCCAGCCCCCCCCCCCTCCATCCCGTGTCTGGATTTATCCAAGATGCTGATCCTTGCATTTTCATATTAACATTAAATATTGTTGAATTCGCCTCACCCTGAAATTTAAAAAACAAAACAAAACTGCTCAGAGTAGTTTAATCTTTGGGTTTAGCCAAACTGCAGTTTGGCAGCCTTTATTTAAAAACAATGACGTCTTAAAATGGTGGAATCAGGACAGTTTAAAATAAATATTTACTCCCTTTTTTTGCTTTGCTTGTGCTGAGCACAAATCACGGATGGCGGCAGGCAAGAAGGTGTCCTCAGTTTTACCAGTTCAAAAATAAAAAACAAAAGTAGGAATTTGTACAACAGTAATACATAGTACTACATAGTAAATTGCATACAAGGTAACAATGTTTAAAGGATATTTTACAAAATAACAATTGGCTGTTCAGAGTATAGTGTTTCCCTTGTGAGATACTATTTAAGGTCATGAATTGGAAGCCATTGTGCTTAAATATTCCCTTTTTCAGTGAAATCCCAGTGAAATGTGACATACTGTTATTTTCTTGCACCATAATTTCTTCCCTGCTTAATATCTGAGAAATTCCCTTGCATTTATTCTTTTCAGTGGTAGAATTCAGATTGTTTGCAGAGTTTGGCTAGTGAATATAAACAGGAGGTTCAGAACATCTGCCTATATAATAAATAATTTTACTATCATGTTTTAGAGTTTAGAAGGACTGCCAATGTAGTCATTGTCCAAGTATGCCCTAAAACAGGCCCCTCTTTATGCCTATCATGGATTGCTCTTTGAAATGGAAAATATTTTAAAGACTTGTAAAACAACAAAATCAGCACTTGGGCATTTGGGAGGCCTAACTCCATTTTCTTTCAACGTACTTCTGTATCCCCATGTATAAAGTACAGCTTCAGGAAATAAAAGATTGGATAGGTGATGGCCGCAGATTTATCAGGAAAAGGGAAACAGGATGTTGCAGGGTAAGCTTTCAAAACTCTGACCTAAGAGGAAGGGAGTGGGTTAGGAAAGTAAATGAAATGTGGATGATTTAAAGTAGCTATAAGAAGGGTAGAGTAGATGGTTTTAGAAGAAAGAACCCAAACCAGGCAGTTGAAAAAAAATAAGCATAAAGAACACTGATGAGGTGAAGATGTGCTTCATTGGTGAATGGGGTGCGTGCATATTTTTTCGCTGATTTAACTGGCAGGACTTTCAGAATTTTTTAAAGAATAGTTTTTGCTTGTATGAATTTATAGAATGGGTTGTTTGAGTTTTGTTGCATTTTACTATTGTTGAGCATAGTTTTTGTGCTAATGGTTGAGGTGGCGTTGGGAGTAATTCATTCTTGTATTTGGTATATATATATATTTGCATGTGATTTAGGGAAACATTTTTCACTTCCTGTGCGGTGGATGTTTATTAAAGTAGAAAACTAATAGAGTGTGTATTGCCAATTTATCTTTCAAGGAGCTTGTTGTTTCCGTATACTAAATTTTATGATTCCCTATTCTTTCCTATGGGGATTTTGACATGATGCCAGCCACTTTTTCAAAACTAACAGTGCCTATAGCTCCCTCCCCCCCCCAAGAGTTAAGGCAGGTATGCTCTATTTTGTAGCAAATTGTCCTAACTAATTGATTTCTATACCTTGTTCATGAAGCATCAATTTTAAAATAAGATTTAAACCGCTTTTTAATTTAAAAGGTGGTGAAAACAACTTGGGATAACTATCATGATTTGATAACCTGCAATATTCTGAGTTTTGGTATAAATAAAATGATGGAATAGTTCATCTGCCTTGGATTTTACTTTATGTTGTGTTCTGCGTTATGGGACTTGATGATGGTTTGTAAGCTGAATTGCTTTTTTGATATTCAGTTAAGGTCGATGAAGGGATAAACTAGCTTGGTTGAGAGAGATGAAATAATCCTAACATTCTAAACAAGCAGACAGGAAACCTGCCATGCCTGGTTCTTAACTTCTGAGTGAGCATATATAAGACTCAGCTGAGGAATTCATGCAATGCTGACTTTAATCATAGTTGAATGTGCTTCAAGATGCTCCAGAAATTTTGTTATGGAGACTTCTAAATTAAGTGTGTCTGCTGTATAGCTGGAAACCTGCTTCTTATTTCTTGTGAAAATAGCTTTCTGTCGCAGTCTTATAAGATCAGTAATACTGACTGTCCTGTATTAGCAATGCACATCCTACTTTTGAATCCTAAGTCACCATTTATAAATTACTCTTATAATATATGAGTCTAGTGGGTTCTCTTATTTCCTTCTTTCTGACTGTGTTTAAGAATGTGATGTGAAATAATCCCCCTGGAATAATATCAGTTTAAAACTCATCATCTTTGCAATCTAGTTGGCACTTGAAGTCAAACAACTTGCATTTTCTTATCGTTAAAGCTGGGTGATACTAGTTCTGTCCGTAGATGAGACATTCCACTTTGGAGAGATGAAAGCATTCTTAACACCATAGCTGAAATCTACATTTCCAGCTCATTTCCATTCTTTATATCTCCTTTAAATTTTGCAGTTAGTTGCACAAGTTTGAGTATGCTGTATCCATCCAAATGATCACATTTCCTAGATTATTACCTCAAAATGTTTACTAATCATGACATTGTATTCCCACCAAAAATGCTCCCCCCCCCCCAAAAAAAAACCTTTGGCACTACTCATCCTAAAATGAATGTCGCTATGTCCAGCATAGAGAACAGTATTTTAAAAACACCATTTTTAAAAACTTGTAAATGGNACCAAAGGTGGTCCCTATTTTTCTACTTGCATTTTTTACATGCTTTCGAACTGCTAGGTTGGCAGAAGCTGGGACAAGTAACGGGAGCTCACTCATGATAGTTATGATCAGGGTGAATAATACTACGTATATTTAAAAAAGATTTGATACAGCCCATACACTGTTCTTGCAAAACTGCAAATGTGATGTAGAATAAAGGAAAATGCATTTAAAAAAACCACAGAAATAGGATAATTTACGAGGGAGCAGAGGACGGTTTGAACCGGCAAAACTCACTGAGACGTGTTGAGGGTGGCAGAGACTCAAATTTTCCCTTTGAATCTACGCGCTGCCATGTGTACATGATAGGGGCTGTGCCAGAGACGGAGTTACATTGTAAAGTGATTTCTTTTCCTTCAGATGCCACCCCTTCTTTCCAGCATTTGGGTTTTGAAGGTTTCTCTGGAAAGGAAGGAAGAAAAAAAAAACGGTCAGTGAGATTCTGTAGAGATTCTCAGACATCCAGGTGTCCCAAAGGTGCTTTTATTTCAGGAGGCAACTGGACTATCTTGTTTTTGCTTTCGAAGACCTTTCGCTTCTCATCCAAGAAACTTCTTCCGTTCTGACAGGACGGTGGGGGAATGGAAGGATTTATATTCCTTGCAGACAGCTGGGCATTTGCAGTCTTTTAGGCAGTCATTGAGGCCACTTGGAGGTTTATCTCTGTCCTCAGGGTTACTTCTGTAGCAGAGGTGGGATTCAGCAGGTTCTGACCAGTTCTGGAGAACCGGTAGCAGAAATTTTGAGTAGTTCGGAGAACCGGTAAATACCACTCTTGACTGACCCTGCCCCCATCTATTCTCTGCCTCCTGAGTCCCAGCTGATCGGGAGGAAATGGGGATTTTGCAGTAACTTTCCCCTGCCACGCCCATCAAGCCACACCCACAGAACAGGTAGTAAAATTTTTTGAATCCCACCACTGTTCCACACCATTCAAAGCAGTGATGGGATTCAGCCGGTTCACACCTATTCGGGAGAACCGCTTGCCAACTTTCTCAGCAGTTCGGAGAACCAGTTATTAGAATAAATCTCTCTCCCCCACTCCACTTTACAGGGCTAATCCTGTAAGGAAGGCTGGAAGGAAGGAACATTCTGGTGGTGTTTCTAGCCTAATCTTTATTGTCCTGCTTACAGAAACTGCCTCCGGTTAACCCTTATCACATTGTCACAGCTAAGGCAAAGTGCCCATCAACCTGAGTGACGAGTTGGCCACACCCACCCAGTCACATGACCACCAAGCCCTGCCTACCCAGTTGGTCATCAGGGCAGAGAACCGGTTGTTAAATTATTTGAATCCCACCACTGTTTCAAAGGGTGTTCATCCCAAATTTTATACTTTGTTTATTTATAAATAAACTTAAATGAGATGCAAATTGTATAGCTAAAAGGTCTAAAGAGATTTTCGGTCATCCAGGTCATGGTTGTCCCAAAGGTGCTTTTTTTCAGGAGGCAACTGGACTTTCTGGTTTTTTTTGGAAGCTTCTTTGGCTCTGGCCATACAAGAAGCTTCTTGGGTGAGAAGTGAAACGTCTTCAAAAGAAAAATAACAAGAAAGTCCAGTTGCCCTCCTGAAAAAGCACCTTTGGGACAATCAGTGAGGTTCTCCCTGTGGGTGAGGGGGAAAAAAAATCCCCGGGACATTCAACAGAAAAGCTAAATACTTACAATACAATACAATACAATAGCAGAGTTGGAAGGGACCTTGGAGGTCTTCTAGTCCAACCCCCTGCCTAGTCAGGAAACACTATACCATTTCAGAAAAATGGCTATCCAACATCTTCTTAAAGACTTCCAGTGTTGGGGCATTCACAGCTTCTGGAGGAAAGCAGTCCCACTGATTAATAGTTCTAACTGTCAGGAAATTTCTCCTCAGTTCTAAGTTGCTTCTCTCCTTGATTAGTTTCCACCCATTGCTTCTTGTCCTGCCCTTATGTGCTTTGGAGAACAGCTTGACTCCCTCTTCTTTGTGGCAACCCCTGAGATATTGGAACACTGCTATCATGTCTCCCCCGGTCCTTCTTTTCATTAAACTAGACATACCCAGTTCCTGCAATCGTTCTTCATAGGTTTTAGCCTCCAGTCCCCTAATCTTCTTTGTCGTTCTACTCTGCCCTCTTTCTAGAGTCTCCACATGTTTTCTACATCGTGGCCACCAAAACTGAATGCAAATATTTCAAGTGTGGCCTTACCAAGGCATTATAAAGTGGAATGAACACTTCCCGTGATCTTGATTCCGTCCCTCTGTTGATGTAGCCTAGAACTGTGTTGGCTTCTAGACTTGTTTTGAAAGTCTTACCTAGAACCTTCAAAGTGATATGGCTCCATTCATACTGTCCAGCATTTTTAACTTTGCACGTATATTGCCCAGAGTCGCTTGGCTGCAGAAGAGAAATCTCCAGAGAAGCGTCTCCACCCAGGAAATTGGAGGCGAAGGACACGCGTCCCTTTTGCTCTTCGATCATGTCATGATAGATGTTGCCACCTGCATAAGTGATCACCTGGGAGACAAGGTTACTCATCAGCTTTGCAAACTTAGTTTGGCCAAAGATGATATCAAACTTATGCCAGCATTTCTTTGTTTACCAGCTAACCTCCCCAGCTATGATTACTCATGTCACACAACCAATAACAAAACAAGCTTCCAAAATGGCTAATAAAGAGTGTGCACCAATTCAGTTTCATAATTACCGTATGCCTTAATGGTTCTCGTGGCCATACATTTGTGGGAAGCTGCTCCCCTCCTAGAAAAATGAAACATCTTAGGAAATACTAGGACCTTAGGACCGACCCCACATGCATTTAAATATTTTAGGGCAGGGCTTATTTGGGGGAGCGGCTTATTTTAGCACATGAGCTCAAAAGTTTATTATCTGGGCTTATTATCCAGGGAAGTCTTATTTTCAGGGAAACAGGGTAGCACCTTAAGCCTCCAAGCTGTAATCTAGAACTGATCATAATCTGATAATGGTTTTTCTTTCTTTGTTTAAAGGATTATCTCACACTTCACTTCATCAGCAAAGCTGCATGTTTGGGAGGAAAGTTAAGTTTAACTGCTGCTTTTGCAAAGCAGTTGAGAAAGGGAAAAACACTTGGCCGATCAGTTCTAATTCCTTTGAAACCTCAGCATGCATCCATGTATCTTCTGCTGTCTTTGCACTGTATGAAAAAAAAGAGAAAGATATCCAGTCCTCTTCATTGAGAAGATTGGAAAAGAGGTGACTTTTAAGATGGCCATTGGGTCCCGGAATTTCTGCTGTAACCACTAATTGGTATATTTGATGGCTTGTCATGAGTCATAATTTTGACTGTCTATCTGCCAATCCTGAGCCACAGTTGAAAAAACAAATATGTTTTCAACGCTCAGATGATTGCTGTGAAATTTTGGTAAGCCTTGTAGGAAAACCAGTGTGTGATTCACATTTGTATAAGCGCCTTCTTTCCTTTTGAGCTAAAATCACAATGAAGGCAAATCACAATTATCCAGCACTGTGCCAAAGGGAGATTTGTAGTAAATGGAGGGCATAACAAGACTAACGTGGTTTAAAGAGTTATAGACAATGTTTAAACACCTTTTTTTGCTTTCTGCTTGGTCTTGTGTTAACTACTACTGATACAACAGCATGTATAATGAAGTATTTGCAAGATGCATCTGCAAGAAAGCCTGTTCTTAATTGTTGGAAGAAATACCCATCTAGTTCAGTTCCAAGTGGGGGTGAAAGACACTGGAAACATGCGGGCTGATTGGAAAGATGGTTTATTGATGGATAGGGCCACACGGGTTTGAAATCCCGGGCAGCTGACCACATGGAGTGGAGAGTGAGAGGTATTTATACCCTCTCCTGGGCTTTGAACTTGAGCTTCCTGTTCCTGTGCAAGAATATGTATTCTATTGGTTGTCGTCAGACTCCCATGTGGAGTCATGTTTGAATCAAGTTTGGTTGAACCTTGGGCTGATGTAATGTCCCCAGGAGATTTTGCAATGCAGTGAGCTCGGCTGCTAGATAATGTCCTGGAAGGTCATATTTTAATCCCATCACCCTGGAACTGGTAGATAGGCTGGCCCAGTCCTGCTGGGGCTACATTTACCATTGTACATAAATGGTGAGGAGGTGGAGAGGGTTGGTAGCTTTAAATTCCTGGGCATTTATATCTCGGAGGACCTCTCATGGACTATGGATGCTAACATGCTTGTGAAGAAGGCCCAGAAGAGGCTGCACTTCCTGAGAATGCCCAGGAAAAGAAAATCTATCTCAGCATCTACTTCTGTCCTACTATCACAGCATTATTGAGAGTGTCCTGACCAGTGGTGAGATTCAAATAATTTAACAACCAGTTCTCTGCCCTAATGACCGGCTGGGTAGGTGGAGCTCAGTGGCCATGTGATTGGGTGGGCATGGCCAACTCAATGTCACTCAGGTTGATGGGCGCTTCGCCTTAGCTGTGACAGTGTGATAAGGTTAGAAACAACACCAGAATGTTTCCTTCCTGCCTTCCTTACAGGATTAGCCCTGTAAAGTGGGAAAAAACAAAA